ACACACACACACACACACACACACACACAAAACAACCCACTGTTTATACAATACACATTTTAGCTAGTGGTCAGATTCTCATTTATGTAATCTAAGTATTACACAACTGAAATTATGCCATTAAGTTCATTTGTAGTTCTAACCATATTTAGTGTTCTTACTCTCTTTTTGCTCTATAATCCCATCATTTATTGACTTACAGCAGCTTTTAGGATAGCCAATAACAAACTTTTTAACTGAGGGCTGTGCCAGTGCTGGATAACTAGCTTGTCAACSAGAGAAGCAACACCCAAGTCTTTTTTTTTTTATAATAACACTGTTTTGAAACCAATGTTTGCAACAAGCTACAAAAGTTAGCATGTTAGCAGGTGAAACGTACAGACTGATGCAGGCTCACTACGAACGCTAACTCAGCTRATTATTTAACTAACACCGACTTGATAAGCTTTCAGCTTTACTTTACAAGGAGCAAAACAGCAGAGCAGTAGTAATACACTGTACAACAGGTATAATTATCAACACTGTAAATAAACTGGTACTATAACACATTTTGCTACATGTGTTTATCTTATTGAGCTATTAAAAAAAGAAAATAGTTTCAGCCTTCTTATTTATCTTAAGTGGAAACCTTTTTTTTCTGTCTCCATAACTTTTAGCCAAACATAAAACTTGTCTTTTAACAGGGAACCTTGAAACTTTTTTTTTAGGTGAAGAACTCCCTACGGTGTTTTTAAACAAGTTTCTCTTGGTGAATTATGTCCAYAATGTCCTCTAAAAGGACAGCATGTGGACTCTCTGGCGTTGAATTTGAAAAGTAATCTCATTATGTGATTGCCATAAATTAAAACGTAACCAWCTCCAATAAATATAAAAAAAGTTTTTAAAAAGCTGATCATAAATTAGTTTAAAATCTGTTTTGAGTTTAGGAAAACCCTGAAACTGATTTTAAACATTATACACATGTCTGATACTAAGTACTAACAGTACTTACTACTCAGTACTCTAAGTACAATTTAAAAAAATGGAGACACTGTACTAAGATACTGTTTATTTCGTATTACTATACCTATAACATAGTCATTATTAAGCAATATGTGGTGATATTTATTCAGCAGTAGTAAAAAGTATTTTCATTTTAAATGTTGAAAAAAAAGCAAATCATGTTTTATATTTTTTCTTTTAACAGTGACTATAAAACCAAGGTTTCTGTGTTTCAGGTAATCATACAGTTTGTCATACTGGCCCAGGTACACTGGTTTAATTTTTCATGTTTGTTGACTGCATGTTTGTCTGAATAACACACAGGACACTTTGAGACACAAGAGCAGCAAAAACAGAGGCAACAGAAAGCAGCTAATATGCATTAAAACTACAGTCTACGATGTCCTTCAGCTACAGTCTACAAGCATCACAACTATGCTAGGGTAATTAGGAAACAAATTTATAGAGGATGAAATTTTCAAAAGTTGCCATGGCATTCTGGAAACAATAAAACAATAAAAAAGAAAAGATGAGGAACGGTGTCTTTTTGCAGAGCGTGTTTTTTTTGGTGCCAAACACTGTTTTAGCTGTGAGAAAAAAGGTTTTATCTGTTTGTGTTAGCAGAGCCTGTTTATCTTGGACAGACAAGATAATGCTTGTAAACAGATTGGACAGTGACGGCATGCTCCGGTGCCAACGTTAAACACAACACCTTCCAGTGCCGCTTTAGCAGTTGCCATGGCATCTTATTGTTTGTGCTAGCTCTAACGAAAACTCCAATGCATATATACCTTTATCATTTTCAAACCATGTCCATACAACATGGCCCTCTTTCTCAAGATGAAATCTATAAATGAATCTGAAATTCAAGAAAGTACTTCACCTTGTGCCAGCCATGTACACAGACAACACTTCAAAACACACATTAACTTCTCACAGACATCTACAGGGGGTCCTAACGTCAGAGAGAACATTCCAGTAGTGCTCATATATAGTTCAGTAATACCTTAATGGATGGTCATGCTTTTAGTGAATCTGGCAAGAATATCAGTAATGGTAAAATGTACAAACATCCACTGTAGCCTGGCAGTTAAAACAGCTAACATCTTAAAGGATGATACCAGCAGTGTGGATGTGTGGGTCCTCTGTTTTAACAGAACTAGCATGCTGACTGGTTTGTTTGACACATTCCTCTGTTACGGAGCCAGCTGGCAGATGTTTGAAAAAGGTCAAYTTGTCGCCATAACACTGTTTGAACCTTTGCAGCAGTAAAACAGTGCATGTTGCATCCTCAGATTGGAGGAAAATACACTTTTCATGTGTTTGTTTTACGATGCTTTGCTAAGCTGCGCTGTACGTGGAAAGGACCAATCAGACCTTTTTAAGAGGGGTTCTGTGGGAAGATTTTGAGCAATGARTATCTTACCTGCTGTAGCTATTTCTTTGAGTGATCTCACTTTGGAGGACTGGACACAGCTCTCAGACAAGTGAAGCCTCCGTCTTTGAGCAAAAACAAAACCAAAGTGCTGCAGTCCTGAAACAACTCCAGTCTCAAAAATGTCACAATCTGCTGTGATAAATGTTCCTGTGCTAACTGTCTCACAAACATTACACCATTATCATTTTATAATTACAGTTATTTTGGCAGAAATACGACTTTATGCGAGTTATACATATCAAGTTGTACAGTTTATCTGTAAATTACAAAGATTTTTAGAGAAAATTTTTAGGAATTTTTTTTTCAAAAACTCAGATTCAAATTTATTTTACGTCACAGAGTCTGTAAGAAAGCTCCTCCTCCCACCAGAGTGTAACTGCGCTAACGCCACCAACCCCGTTTTACAACAAACACCATTACCCCCACTACCCCCGATGCACCATGCCTTCTGGTAACTCCAATACCCCCTCATATTTGTGTGAGTAGCACTGATTTTTTGTGAAATTGACAGATTTCAGAAGGTCAGGCTACAGATATCTATCTTACGGGTTGACATGTATGTAAAATTAAAATTCTACATAAAGAATACTGTGTGACACAAAAGTGATGGCCATTTAAATGGCTATAAAATAGCTTTTTCGTGAAACGCTACGACATTTTTGAGATCTGAGTTGTGAAGAACAGACATACACTTTGTTCTTGCTTTTTTCTCAGCAAACCAGTCAGAATTAAACTGTCAAACTGAGATCTTTCGAAGAGTTCTCTACAAAGGCTGGGCTATAAAACATTAACGATATACAGTATATCACAATAAACACATGAGCAGTATCAATAGAAAATGCATCTGATAGAATGTTGATCATTTCATTGAATTCTGATCCAGAACTGCATAGCATTCTGGGGGATGTAGGCAGAGGAAAGGCCTCTGACAGCCCAGCTATGCTAGGCTGCTCACTCAGTCTTTGGTAAGCTAACAACCTGCTGAGTAACATGCGCAGCAGCAGTTCGTGTTTCACTACTGTGCCTCAAAACWGCTTAAAAATAAAAAAGAACAATGTGGAGTGAAAGGAGAAAATGAGGCAACAGCTTTAGAGGAAGTTGTGGATAAAATAGGGAAGGAGATGTCACCAGTTTGGCTGTAGTGATTAGCCTTTTTTATCCTGGTAAAACAAACAAAAAAAATCAATAATTATCGATATCGACTGATATGAAACACTTATATCGTGATAGATTTTTCAGCCGTATCACCCAGCCCGAGTATTTGCAGCAGGTAAGATATTAATTGCTTTAAAGATGATCACATTAAAGCATCTGAACAACTGTTTTAAAATGAGCTAGGAAAAGAAAAAAACTGATAAATATTTAGTGTCAAAGTCAGCTATAGATTAACAAAGCGGATGCAAATGCAGATGAAAATCACTAATGACTACACTAAGGCCTGAGTCACACTACAAGATTTTAAAGCAGCCGGCCAATTTTCAAAGACTGATAGAGCCCACACATGAGGATAAAAAATCACAGCCACACGGCAAGAGACAACACACCACACACGAAAACTTCATTCATGAACATTCAGATGTCAGATTTTAAATCACGCGAGACTTCCTGAAATCTCGCGAGAATTCATATGTCCAAGGAAAAATCTCYCGTGACCTCCAGAGACGTGAGTTCAGAGTAAATAAACATTTGCAACAAGGAAGAAAACATGTTGATCGTTTGTGGACTATTTTTACCAGAGGAAAAACAGTTCCATAGGACTTTTAACATCCAGCAGACTTTCTGCTGAGTCATGGCAGTTTGTGTTTACGTCACCTCGCTTTCTGATTGGCTACACGTCTCATTCATCAGGCTGAGAGCTCGGTTGAACACTACACACACTGTGATATCAGGCCAAAAAATCAAACATTTTGGATATCCCCGATTTGAGGTCGGAGCGTTCCCAACGTCCTTCCAAGTCGACTAGATCACTCTTAACTCACCATCAATGGTGGGAATATCTGYTATGATTATCTTTAGAGCCATCACAATAATCTGGACTTCCTTCAGATTGTCGTAAGGGCAAAAATCGGCCTGATTTTCTTGTAGGGTGACTCAGGCCTAACTCAGTGAGAGACAGAACTGTAAACAGGTCAGTATTAATAGTTTCAACACTGGCAGGACACAGGACCTACTTGTCCTGAACGCGGGTATCATCCTCTAAAACTCAATACTTCATGCAAACAGCCCTCTGTCTTTTCATTGATGCTTAACAGCTGCTTTCCGGCTCAAATAAACTCATTCTTGAGTTCAGGCTGACCAACGGCTATTTCAAATGAAAGATATTAAATGTAATGCAGCAAAAATAATCTTAAAACTTAAATGTTCGAAATTACTTGGTACAAGACCGGTTCTAGATCCACTTCTAAACAAAGTACGTGTTAAACAGGGTGTGGAAAGTGAAAAAAAAAAGAACAGCAGGTTAAAGAGAGAGTAAACAGCGATGAGAAGACAGAGCGGGKCAGAAAAAAAGAGGGGAGGGGAAATCACCTGATATCTTCTCGTTGCCTCACCTTTCTGTTTGGTCACCTTTCTCACCGTCAGGGCTGCCTGTCGCTTCTGGTACTCAGAAATCTCAAAACCTGAAGAACAACGGAGCAGTAAGTTGGCCTGAAGGTCACTTAAGGTGATGTTTCACTGGGCTGTTAGAGACTAGAAGGTGAACCGTAACTGCCGGGTAGCCTCCAAAATGTCCTGAAACACTTGCTGTTGCTCAAATTTTTAACTTGTTCACAAAATTTGTATCAAAATAGATCTGTTGCATCTGGAACTTGCCTCAAACCTTTAATTTATTTTGTAAATCTACTCTACARTGTTAGAGCTGTACTGTATGTGGACACCGGCACAGTCAGAATCTTTAGACACTTCATGATTTGATTCAGTTATGATTTAGAGTTCTGTGATGCGATGATAAAACAAATATTGATGCCTTTTGATTATCTCGATGCACCTCCTCCCCACTTCCACCTGTGTGACTACTTAGTAGCTTTAAAGCAAAGTATTTGTATACATCGAATTAATTTACTTCCAGTAGAACATCCTGTGTGTCAAGTGCCCAAGCTCTCGCTCCACCCTTCAGAATTCAGCCTTTCTCAACATGACTTTATTATTTAAATAGGAACCAAATTTATTTTTGACTGTTTAAAATTCAGACTCTTCCATGAGCTCTTCTATGTCAGAAAAACATCCGAAACCACAATCCTCTGTGTCCAGGTCTAAATGTGACACCAAAAAAGCATACTCCCCCTATATATATATA